AGTTAAACAAATGACAAGCGCAATTATTCTGTTATAATCTAACGTGTTTACAAATAGAATAGAGTTTGATTAGTATGCTGTTTTTACTATGTTTGGGTTTTCATGATTTATTGAGTGTGAGTTTATGTTTTAAGTGTCAAATGTTTATTATTGGTCTCGTTAGGGTTAAAATTAACATTGTTTTGTTGGGGCCGTTCTTTAAGTGTGTCTTTCTTAGGGTTTTAAAGGTATCTGTCGTGTTTAATTTTGCAAATTATGTGCTAGGTCATGCATATGCTTGATGATACTTATCAATTTTTTGCAGATGGCCTCTTCCACTCTTGTTGGACCTCTTTTGTTTGTCTAGTGAAAAGCGTCCAATGACAGGTGGTAGGACTATAGTCCTACCACCCAGAAGCTGAAACTTGTCACTTAACTCTTTCTTATCACTTAACACTTGACTATTTATTGACCGTTACACTATATGAGATTGCACTTTATGAAAATTGTTTGTTGGTTTTGTCCAGTGAAAAGCGTCCAGTTGAGGGTTGGTATGACCGCCCAGAAGCTCACTTGTCACTTAACTCTTAACTTATTCTTGACAGTATGGTAGTCTATACTCACTGTAGTTGTTTCACTATAATTTGTTTGCACTTTTGAGAAAATATTTGTTGATTTTAAGAGCTCTCCCTGTTACATTGCGTATTGCCTTCTCAAGTGCTGAGACGTGACTGAAATTTGGTCAAAAAAATTATGAACTAATAAATTTAAAGTAAAATTATATTTTTTAGTGATATACAGACTTGCCAGAAAAAAGTTATTAAATTACACATGGCAATAGCGCCAAGAGTGAAAATTATGCATAATTTTCACTATTGGCGCTATTGCCAATCAATTTGATTCGAATTATCAAGGCTTCGAGTTATCGAAGTTCGACTGTATTAACAATATTTTCTAGGCTGTATACATTTTATATTTAAAATAAAACAAATGTTAATACATAAAAGTAAATTTTGCCAATAAAAGAAAAAACAAATTATAAAATTTACATACATTTTCCAGCTATTTTTCAAAAATAAGCACCTGATTCTTTTAAACAATAAACAACTAACTACGAATTTTACATCACTGGCATCACTGGCCCACTCTTTCATAGGACTACAAAGAAGATGGACAGAAGCGGTGATAAAAAAGCTTTTGGCAAAAATTATTAAAAATTTTCATTTTGTATTGATAAAATCATAAATTTAAAAACATTAAGGACATAAAAGAAATTTAAAAAAATACTATGACAATGATTATTTTTTAACATAAACTTGCCAATGTCAAATATAAGAAAAAGTTACTGGGGACACGCGCAGAAGGGGACATTTTTAGTTTTTGATAATCAGTTTTAATATGAATTTAGGAGATTATAATATAATTTGAATTGCACCAAATAAAATGTTACCTCCTATACCATAAAGAAACTTTAAGAAATTATATTACTACTTTTAAAAATAAATTGCCGTTGTTTAAAAAGAAACCAATGCCTTACAAACGACGAACCTGAATTGAAAAACGGTAATATTTTTATATATACAGGGTTTCCCAAAAGTCAACGATATCCTTGAGGGACTAACAGGTCAGCTCATGACTAATCAGAATATCAAAACATGACCTTAGTAAAAAATCATTAGTTTTTAAGATATTGGCATTTTTATGAATTTTGTGAAACTTGACACATAAAATCAGTTTTCGAGTGCCAAAACTACAACATTCTATATTCTTAGATTATATTTTATTTTGCGTAACCCTGAATAGGACTGCTATTAATTACAATTCAAAATTAAATTAATAGTAGATTTTGTAGCTGTGGCACTCGAAAAACTGATATAAGGTGTCAAGTTTTACAAAATTCATATAAATGACTATATCTCAAAAACTAACGATTTTTTACTAAGGTCTTATTTTGATTTTCTGCTTAGTCATGAGTTGGTCTAACAGTCCTCCAAAGGATATCGTTGACTTTTGGGGCACCCTGTATTATAACAATAATAATATATTTATTTAGCCTCTGCTATTTAAAACCAGTACACATCACAAAATCACAAAATACTTTAACAAGTTTTTAAAATTAATGAAGTTATCACAGTAGGTATTTAATTTCAGGTGGTAAATTATTATACAATTGAAAACCTTTAAAAAATATACTTTTGCTATATTTACTATAAACGTTGGTTTATCTATATAAATATATCTGTCTTGCCTTGTTGGATAGTCATGCAATATGGTTTAATATTTAAAAAACAAAGATTAAGGTTCTAAAAGTTATTCTTTGACTAACAGAAGTTTAGTACATTTAACATTAAATTTACAGGTGTGTATTTGCTACATTGATGGATAATTATAGATAGATTATAATCTATCTATTAAATATTAAATTAAAAAAACATAAAAAATCAGAAAATAGTCAAGTTAATAAAACGTTCAGAATCTAAAATTTTCGAAAATTGTTAAAAAATGTTAAAATTTCTAAAACTGTTAAAAAGTTTCTTTCAATAAACATAACTTTACAAAATGAGAAAAATGAAAATCCTAATTTTGATTTAAATTAAACGTAAGCATTGTAAAGAAGCTAGAACAATAAATTAATAAGATTTTATTACCATGTAAATAGCTCTAAATAACTCATGTAGGTTATATAAATGCAAGTTGGAACGTCAAGAATTTGAGATATGAGCACCAGTCGAGCATTTTCTAGTATAATATTTTATTTTCCTAGTTTATAAGCAAATTATTTCCCTAAAACATAAACCATTCAAACTAGCCATGAGACCACCCGACAGATTTCATAATAAATAGTTAAGATAGTTATAATTGGGAATTCAAATAATAAATATAAAGAATGGGAGTGACTGATATTTCATGTAATTTGCACAAATGTATGTTAAATTTATGTATTTAAAAATTTGTAATAATTTAAATGTGATGTTTAATTCCAATTATTATTGCACAGTTATGCTTTATGACAGTCTTGACAAATGATTTGTTTTAATAAAAACAATATTTTTCACTCTTAATTAACAATAGTTACAAAAGTTATCCCGAAAACAAAATTATTTTTTTTAACGTGTATTAATGACACAACTTTTGCGTTCAAGACTGCACCTTTGAAATTTGCATAATCCTTAGTAGATATGAAAAATTACGTATCGACAGATTTAATGTAGCTTCTCAGCAAGCCGTTTTGTCATTAAGGCCGACTAACCACTTTTTCATATTTTTGTTTGTTGTGTTGTGAACACACGTCGTTAAATTTATTTGTTATGTTGTTAAACTAAATAATCTCTTTATTACGAACTCGATTTATTACTCAATTGTCATAGATGAGAATATAATATTAATAATTTTTACAATTATTTACCAAGACTAGGGAATGCAATCTTGCAGGGAAATGTACAATCTTGGTATAGCAAGATTTAAGAGGTGTAATCTCGCAAGATCTCGGTATTTTGCGAGATCTCGCAGATTTAAGATTAATAAAAAAAATTAGTATAATTATTTGTATTACAACTTTGTTAGGTTATATCGTAAAGGCAAAATAATAAAATAAAACATAAATTAAATAATTTATTTAAGACTATAAAGTTATAAAGTTATAAAGTGCTCTTTTAGTTCCACCCTTACATCCAAACTAAGATGTCCCATAAGCCAACTAAATGGCTTGTGCGGGTTAGGGGTAGGAACGGACCGACGGCTTAAAGTCCCCTCCGAAGGACTATACACAATGGACAAACACAAATAAACAACCATACCCAAGTGGGATTCGAACAATAATACATTATAAATTTTTAATCAGCCTAACTATAGAGGTATAAAGGTATAAAGGTATGTAGAGAGGAATTTAGAGAGTTTGGGGTTAATAAATTTTTAGGTAATCCTGACAAGGATAAGTGGTCGAAAGAGGGGAATGTGAAACAAATATAAAAGTGAAAAAAAAGAATGAATGAAATGTTAAAAATTTTGAGGTGACAAGAAGGTTAAAACTTAGGTAATTAACCTCCCTGTACGAACTTTATACCGCATAGAGGCCCAGATTATTGTAATTAATCAGTGCTGTTCCGCTTTTACTCGCATAGCGATTTTGGGGAAGATACTCAGTAAAAAATTTCAAGGAAAAGTAATGGAAGATAAGGTGAAAGGTATGAATAAATAAAATTGTGAGTGATTTGAAGGAACCCAGGAGCTCTGACCACTACACCACCGAGGCACTCATTACTTTATGGTTTCAGAAAACGAGTGGTTTTTTCAGTTTTGCAGCGATAAAACTACTATTTAGTTAAAAAACCACTCGTTTATACGTGTTTCGATGTTGACGTTTCTAATTTTAAAATAAAAATTTCAAAAAATATGTGTTTTGGTCAAAAAAATCATACAGAAATTGAATCGGCACGTTAATTCTAATTTAAAAAAAATATTCGTGAAATAGTCTTGCCGAATACCAATCGTGATAAAATTTTTCCTGACAAAATGTTTGATTTTTATTTAAAGGGTGTCCAAATTTGACCTTCCGATTTAAATTGACCGCCATATCTAGTAATCTTCATTGACAGTTTTTCTATAGTGACATATCTTAAGTAAAAACTTGGTCAACATGGAGCAGCTATTCATAGAAGAACGAGTTTTTATTCTAAAAACTTATTACCAAAATGGAGAAAGTTTGGCTAAAATCGTAGTGGTTACATTCGAGGTGTCCGATCAGAAGAAAACAATGTTTTCTTCTGATCGGATACCTCGAATGTAACCACTACGCCTGTTAACTTCTACAGTCTGTTGAAATTTCTTAATAAAATTCTCAATAACTTTAACAGAAGGTGCTAAATTTCTTCCGAAATGCATTTCAGCAAAACTTTCTCCATTTTGGTAATAAGTTTTTAGAATAAAAACTCGTTCTTCTATGGACAGTTTCTCCATGTTGACCAAGAAACTACTAACCGCAAAGTTTTTACTTGAGATATGTTACTATAGAAAAACTGTCAATGAAGATTACTAGATATGGCGGTCAATTTAAATCGGAAGGTCAAATTATGACACCCTTTACTTAAGATTTTTTCTTGTAAATTTCGCTGGTGGCATTAATTTAAAACTTAAAAATTAATGCCAATTGCGAAATTTACAAGAAAAAATAGTTCGTATAAGAATCAAACATTTTATCGGTAAAATTTTACCACTAGTGGTATATAATATTATATAGGTACTAATAATCATCAAGCTATTGAAGCAAAAAACATAAACATGACTAAAATTATTTATTGAAAAAGCTTTACAACACACATGAAATGCGCTGCGTCCTAATCTCGCAAATCTTGCGAGATCGCGCATGATTTTCGTGCAAGACTAAGCTTGCAGAATTAGTACGAGATCTTGGTATTTCGAGATCTTGGTATACCTAGATTGCATTTCCTAACCAAGACATTTATTTTAGGGAGCGTGACCCCTACAGATCTTCTGGAAGGCCGGACCTGTTCCGAAGAATTGTGCATAGGCCTTAGCAGCGGAACAGCAACCTCGTCCGGCCCTGATAACTGCACATGCCAATGTCACCCTCATTTGCCTGCCTTCAGGGAGGATCTCAGCATATGTGTGGACGACATACACGGTAAGAAAGTTTATGTTAAACGACAAAAGTAGGATCAAAACATTTCTTACATAAATTTGCAACAAAGCCTTATTTTAAACCGCTCATCTTTAAACATAACATTAACATTGTTAAATACGACGAACAATCAATTTTTCTTAAGTGGTTGATGCAAAATAAAAACCAGTAATTAATAGCGCAATAAAAGCTTTAACACAATGGTGTTATTTGAGTTGCGCCGAGCAAATTACATCACCATTGTTTGTCTATTGGCTTTTGACCCGTATAGTCATAATCGAGGCAGTTTTATCGAGTTTGAGTGCTTAATCAATGAAAGGATTTAACGCTTTTGTATATAGAAACTAAAACCTCTTAATGGAGTGCGATTTTTAATTATTAGTTATAACTATTATAGTTGTTTTTTTTAATGAAATTAAGTGTTTTTTTGTTAATTTTTAGTTAGAATTGGATGTGGCCAATATGTATTTAGCATTATAACAGTTATTTTTCACGTACGTTTATTGGCTACAAATCGGTTTTAAATTTAAAAAAAAATCGTCAAAATTTAAAATTAATCGGTCAAAATAACATTTATAACATATTTATATACTCTCAATTATGTCAACCGACCCTTGAATAAGGATCACCCTATTATATATGTGTAAAATTTATAATAAAAATATTATTTATTATTAATTATAAACAATTTATTTACCTTTAATTTGGTATTAAAAAAATTGCTATAGATTCGTTCCATATGAAATCGTCTAATGTGTAAAGCCAGGTCATTTTAGATTTTGCTCAAACTTTGTAAACATCTTTTTCGTATTTCAGTAACCTAATAGGGTTTTATATAATACCACCTACTACTGTATTATTAATATAAATACACATATAATTTCATGAAGAATATATAATTTCAAGTTTAAATTAATTTTTGTTCTTAATTTTATTCTAACCTACTCACAAAAATATAGAATAAAAGGCAGTAAGGATAAGATTACAATAAATTAAAATTAAATGAAAAAGGTTGTCCTGTAAGAGTTTTGTGTAAAAAAATAATCAATTGAAAATTATTTTTTGACTAAAAGGAAAAAATTATATCGTTGCTCTTTTTAAAGCACCTGGGATGAACATAACAAAACGGGCATTTAAAGTTTAAGGGAAGTACTAAATATCCTGTAAGTTTCAAATTTCTATCTCGAAGTCCACACATTCATATGACCTAAATATTGTTTTTTTTTTAAATTTCAAAACTTCAAGCAGAGGTTTTTTTATGAAAAGTAGGCAAAACAAGTCAATTGTGGGTTTTATTTCTTAATCTCAATTTTAGCTTAACTTAGAATGCTATCTTCAACGTATGGATATCTTAAATTGAAAACATTTTTACAGCTAAAACTATTTATGCATGCATAAAAGGTTTTAATTCGGACAATTAGAAACTGATGCATACAAAAAATAAATATTGATGGATTTTCTTCTATGAAACCCTAAAGAAGATTCTTACAAAGTTTGGGCAAAATCCAAAATTTTTTTATTTTTAGACGATTTCATATAGATTGGCTCAATAAGTAAAAAATGTACTATACAGGGTGAACCAATTATCCTTTGTATACTCTATGGGTATTTTATTTTATTTAAAGAGATATAAGGTCGGTATTAGAACAAAGTTGCGTAGTTACAAGCTTATTAACATCAACTTTATAAATTAAAAAAAAAACCCAGCGGTTCTTAAAATATTTGAAAAAAAAACTAAAAACCTTTTAAAACCAAAAATATTTCTGAAAATTTTAGTAAGTTTTACATGTAAAAAACAAATTCTACATTTTCATCCAATTTCTTCGCTACTATGTTTTGAGTTACCATCTTTTGTTTTTATAATGGCCGCCATAATTTACATTTAGTTTTATACATCGTTGAATTTTTGTTTAAATATAAAACTTACTTTTTTAAAATTTACAGGAATAATGCAGTCATAAAGATTTTTGGTTTTGACAGTTTTTCAGTTATTGCAGAACCGCTGATTTTCAATTTTTTAATGCCATTCTAATAGACTTGTAATTAAGGAACTTTTGCCTAATTTAACCGACCTTGTAGCTCTTAATAAAAAAATACCATACACAGAAGGATACTTGGTGCACCCTGTTTATAAATAATCTTTATTAACTTTTACGATTCAGCCGGCAATTTTACGAATAAATTGAATTTTAAAAATTGGTGTTGACTGTTACCAGGTTTTTGTGCAACATCCTTTCAATTTAAAAAAAAGGGAATTCCAATTTTGATTTTGTCTTTTTTCAACATGACATGCCTAATGCTCGCACACTATTTCTGTTGCGTGAATACAAAGATTAAATCCAATTGTGTATGTTTATTTATAAATTTTTCACTGAACATCATATAATGCGCATAATTATTATCAAATGAATAATTAAAAGAACAATGCTGCATTATGCCAATGATAAAAATGTGTTTTTTTTGTAATAAATACAAAGATCTATCTAATGTTAAGTAGTAAGGTATTTGTGTTATCTTTAAGATTGATCTTAATTTATATTAGTAATATGAGAATTGCTAGGTTCAGATAATTATCGTAATTAATTTAAATAATAGTTGGATTTTTGGTGTAGGTATACCTACATATATATGTATATCATTAAAAATTAATTAGGTAAGTCAATTAATTTACTGGGAGTACAAATTGGTAATTTAATTACTGTTTCGATGATGGGAAACAAAATTTTATGCAGCAAAAATTATATAAAATTAGTAACTTTAATAAAAAACTAATTAAAAATAAACGGTTTGTCCAAAAGGTGAGGTTTTAAAGATAAATGATTTAGCAAGTTTTACCAATTTCTAAATAGAAACCCAAAAACGATTTGTTTATTAATATTTAAAATAGTTATATTATATAACAACAGGCACGGATTGAGACAATTTGCCACCCTAGGCTAATAATAAAATGGCATTTGCATTTTTTCGTGTATGTAGGTATCCGTAGTATTTTTCCAATTTTCGGAATTGAATTTTGCATTTATTTTCGTATACTTTTAGAGTATTTAAAATATCACATCCATTTTAAACAAAAAAAATTGGAAAAAAAAATGTGCTGAAACATTTATTTTTTCGGAAAAATGGCTTTTAAAAAGTTATGAACCAAGTAAAAATAAAGAATTTATTTTTAAATAACATAAAAAATGCTGTGTTTTTTTTAAATTTTCAAAAGAAAAATATTTTTTCCCAAAAAAGGAAATGTTACCAAGGACCGGGGAAAAACAGAAAAAACAGATTTTTCCCCAATTTTTTAGTTTTTTTACGACACTTTAAAGCACTACACAGTAAAAAAAATCAACACATCAAATTAACACTACTTTGGAAAGGTTCTAATTTTAGAAAGGTACTTTTACTCTTTTGGTGCAAACTTCTAGTGTAAATTAACACCATTATTTAAGTAAAATCTATTGGTGGTAGTGAATAAAACGAAAAGGTAAATAAAGAGAGAGAGAAACATTTATTTGGAACAAAAATCTATGACAATTATCAAAATAGGTGCCTTTTAAAATATAATTTTATATTTTAAGCAAAATGGTTCCTTAAAACGTAAAAGTTTTAGATCAATGCAATGTTTTACTGGCTGTCAACTTGTAAGCAATGAATTATCTTGAGAATTCATCACTGATCCATTTTTCTGTTATAAAAAATTGGTGATCCCATGGGACCAATGCATTGGTAGAGAGGCGTCAGGCGGCTGTATGTCGGGGATTTACCACACGTATACAAATTTTCCATAATATTAATAAAAATGTAGGTACAGGTTAATATAACAACCATTACGCTTGAAAATAAAAAGTGTGTATATATTTATATTATTAATGTAACAACCCGACCTACTGCCGTAAATTATTGATATACAGTGTGTCCGTAAAGTCCCGGAACATGTAATTATTTTGAAAACGGTAATTTTTAAAAAAAAACGCTGAAACACGTCAACTTTGTTATTTTTCTAGCAATATTTTAGCATATGTAGTTGTTCCAAATTCTGTCGCGTGGCGGCGCCACAATCAAAGTCAGTTTTTTTTTAATTGCAACCCTTTATTTTTGTTGCATTTTTGAATAGCTACCGTTGTCCTGATTACATTGATGTACCACATCTGGGGGGTTACATAAGAAAATTTTTGAGAAAATCAGGTTTTTGCCGCCGAATGAGATTTTGGTATTTTGTCAAACTTACACAATCTATGCGTTGCTTAATGTTTTTTGGAAAGCCAATCAGAGCAGTTGCTCAAAGTGTCCACCGTAAACTATTTGGCAATGGAACAGCCTGTCTACAAACGAGCGTTGTACGTTTGCCAGTACCGCTGGAGTGATCATCTGGATCTCGGCTTGAATGCGGTGTCTTAGGTAGTCCAAATTTTAAGGCCTGTTTACATAGACGCGGTTTTTAAGATGTCCCCATAAAAAGAAGTCTAAAGGGTTCAAATCGGGCGATCGCGCTGGCCACTCAATTTGACCCCTTTGACCTATCCAGCGATTGGGAAAGACCTGATTTAAATAATCCCTTACTAGCAATGCATAGTGCCCCGTAACAGCGAATAAGTTCGTCAAAACCAAAATCTCAATCAGCGGCAAAAACCTTTTTTTCTCAAAAATTTTCTTATGTAACCCTCCACATGTAGCATATCAATGTACTCAGGACGACGGTAGCTATCCAAAAATGCAACAAAAATAAAGGGTTGTAATTTAAAAAAACCTCACTTCGATTGGGGCGCCGCCACGCGGCAGATTTTGGAACAACTACATATGCTAAAATATTGCTAGAAAAATAACAAAGTTGACGTGTTTCAGCGTTTTTAAAAAAAAAATACCGTTTTCAAAATAATCACATGTTCCGGGACTTTACGGACACACTGTATATCATATAATATAGGTCGGGTATGGACATCCTTTTAACATATTGGTATTTATTGAGTATTAAGGCTTAAAGAAAAAGAACTTACCAAAGAATAAGAATGTCCCCTTATGCATTCACCATAATTAAAATCTAACTGAACAAAAATGACACACTTCCACAACGCGGTATCTCCGGATATGCAACGCATTTCGGTTATTACCAGTTTTTTCAGTCTATTTTGCCACTATTGGTGTAATTTAATTTTAATTGTGTTACAATGTCCACTAGTAGTGTAAAGAAAAAAGAGCTCTTAGTAACATCAAAACAGACAAAGAAATTGGCATGCACTGTAGTGTACATTTTGTCACTATTTAACACATTAACGGGTAATAAACACTCGCATTAAGTTTTTCTACCCTTTTGATTTATTTTAATAATGTTTAATAAAGTTAATAAGCACTAAATGCTACCCAGTGTATTTTGTAGTGTAACTTTTACACTTACAAATCAACTCTAATATTTTACTGTATAGCCATAGCCTAGGTTGGCCATATTTTTCTTTTTTAAGAAATAACTACCAATGTTTCATTAGTTGTAATTTATAGGGTCATAGATTTCCACTAATGATTTCTCGAAAAGGTAAATAGATATTGAAAAAAATTAAAAAGGATTTTAAAGAGAAATAAACAGTAGAATAAAAAAAAAGTTCTGTAAATATAACAAATAGTATATTACACTACAAGGCCGAAAGTTGATTTTTCGGCCCTGCGCGTCATGACGTGCGGGACCGAGATTTCAACGTTTGGCCAGTGTGGTGTATACTATTTTTCTTCATACATCGGTCGAAAGTACTTACTTTTGTCCCTAATAGCAGGGACGAAAGTTTACCTCGGTCGAAAGTTACTTACGTACGTATACGTACGTCATGACGCGCAGGGCCGAAAATTCAACTTTCGACCCTTGTAGTGTAATAAAATATTTTCCACTTTTGGATAAAAAAAATTGTGATGGTACATATATGTTGGTTAAATTTTGTAGACTTGTCATTGTTTTTTACCCTTATAAAATTTTACTTCTAAAATTTATAAAAATAATACTGCGATATTCTAACACATAAATAAAAGAAAAAAACACAAATTGCTTTCTTTAAATGCCAATAAACATTTAGCGTTAAAAGTAATTTTGTCACGATAGTACCTAATAGTAATTGAATATTTGAGATCCGGCTTTCGTCTGGGTATTCACGTAAACAACAATTTTTTTTAAATCTTCTCCCAGCAGGAATCCTGTCGATTATAAAGAAAATATAGATACAATCGTCTCTAGCTTTACGACCGCTCAGGATCGGTACCGTACCTGAAAGTCTTGACGATCTCCGTTTAGTAAAATTATGTGATTTATTCGCAATCTACGTTTTTTACTGTTGTTATTTTCTATTTTGTGTCTCGTTTGCTTCTTTAATCTTTGCTATACAGGGTGATAAACTTCCCAAGTTTTTCTGCTAAAAAATATAGTAGAAAGATTCTATTTAGTTGCCAGGATGTCCTGGATTTAGGATTTGGATATTAATTTTATATAAAGTTTCTTGTAGAATACAAAATGTTCTACAAAAAATTTTATTTACTTTGTTCTATAAAATCAACCGTTTAAAAGTTAACATAAAAAATTACAAATAGTATAGAAAATTCAAATTTTATAAAAGCCTTATAAGGCTCCAAAAAGTAGAAGCAAGTCAGGTTAACTCCATTTGACATCTATGTTAGATTGTATACAAAAGGCGACCATTAAGATTTTAAAATAACCCAACCCGATTGGTTTCTAATTATCCTCACACTAAAACCGGTGATAAAATAATTATTGTGTAAGATCTTATATATAGAATGTAGGTAATTCCCCCAGTAGCACAAAGATATTGGCCCAATATTCGTTTTATATATTGGGCCAACATATCTTTCGTCAGATTTTTTCTAGCTTGGTCCAATATTGAAACCCAACATTGATACTATGATATATTGGATAATCATGTTACGCCAATATAGGGCCAACCTTGAATAAATATTTTTAATGATATATTGGCGTAAAATGATATGCCAATATAGGACCAACCTTGGATAAATATTTTTAATGATATATTGGCTTAAAATGATATGCCAATATTGGACCGATCTTGGATAAATATGTTTAATGATATATTGGCGTAAATTGATATGCCAATATAGTACCAACATTGGATAAACATTGGCAAGATATATTAAATAGCCATTTTATGCCAATATAGGGCCAACATCGGCTAAATAAATCCAATATTGGTCCCAGATAAAATATTGGGCATATATGCGCCCCATATAGGACCAATATTTTGTGCTACTGGGGTCTACATTAAAAAGTAGTATTAGGACGGTCATATCGCGTAATATTGGACTAAATTTTTATTTTAACACGTACAACAGAATTTACAATGGGAAATAAAAAAAACCAAGCACTCGAGTGTACATATTTGGATTCATTGTTTCACCCTGTAGGTAAGCAGACATTCTCCAGGACGCATTGGTTGATACACGACGAACTGCGAACTTAGTGACCTTTGATTGTTAACGTTGGTAACAACACAACCACAACGCACTATTAGGTGTCAAAGTTCAAGGTTTGAATTATAAATAAACGTACCTAGTAGAAAGGTGTGAGAGCACCTTAATGGAAAAAGTTTTTTAAATCTTGTTTTTTTGGATTTTGACAGCTTTAAATATTTAGTAATATAATCTTTAAAAAGTAACTGTATAAAAGTAATAGTTAAATAGTATATTAAATATCAAGTTTAATTAGGAACGAGCGAGCTTGCGAAATGAGTGTTTAAAAAGTTTTATAAAAGAGTTGCATATTATACTTTTTGCATGACAAATATTATTGGGCATAAAAACAATGTATTACTAATTAATTTATACTTAGAGCGACATCTATACAAAAATATTGTAACCTATGAATCTGTTTTACCGGGTCTCAAAATGTCAGTCATTTATTTGTATAGATTAATTAATTAAATTAATAAATTATTTGTATAGAGCGACATTAATAAAACAACAGTGGTTACTTTTTATGAATCTGTATTACCGCCGGTGAACATTTTAAATTTTTTGTAATTTTTTTGTAAATTAAAATGTATTTCTAGTAAAGAAAATGTTTTATGGGCACTTCACAGTGGAGTCTCCACCCGAAATTAAGTTAATTTTAGTTTACTGCCGGCGGAAATATCAGCACAATCTTCCTATAAACTTTTTAAATATTGGCGTTGACAATCTTTTTAAAACTTTTTTATTTTTGTATTGAGATAATTAAGTAATTTTTAATATTAGGGCACACTGAAAAAACAAATCTGTTTTATTAACAAATAAATGTTTTGTTTTTGTTGGTTCTAATAAGAAATTTGTTACCCGAAGTAAAGTATTTAATAAAATTCTTAACTGCAACAAAACTTAATTTGTTGGGAATTATTTGTTCGCACTACTGACAAAATGCGTTGTCGCTAAAATGTATCCTTAAGTTAAAGTAACAAATATATTTTTGTTGGTTATTATGTTCATTAATTAATTAATTAGCATAAAACATGGTAGCCGGAGCCTGTACGCGTGCATTTTCTATGATTTTCTGTGTCTGCTGTATCCAAATAATTAAGAAAGTAATTTTTTGGGTAATTTGTGCATTGTGCTGTGTATGATGGATAAAACAGTGCAGTTATTATTAACTGAGTGGGGCTTTTCGTCGTTGGGAAATACTTTCAGTCAAATTGGTAAATTGCTTTATAGGTAAGAACACTAAGTGTTATTATGCATATTGTATTGTAGGACAAAATACATAAATTTATGGAAACAAATAAATTATTATGTAAAACAAATGCGAAACGGTTTTAAGAACCAATAGATTATTAATTAAAACAAATTAAACTACAAAATATTATTCTATGTGATAACAAAAAATATTAGTTCTTTAAACTAAACGACTTTGTTTTGTCAACAGAAAATATTAGTTACAGTAACAGATAGGCTTCAACAAAAAAAACTTGTTCTTCCAACAAAGATTTTAGTTGAGGCTATATATATATATATATATATATACTGAAAAAAATAAGCTGTTGAAACAACAACAAACATATTAATTCAACTCTATGCACTTTAAATACAAGCAATGGTTTTTGCACGTTTACTTAACCATCTAAAAATGTCAAATTGTATTGTTTAATTGAACAACAAATAACAATCAAATGAACAAAATGAGAATATTTGTTCCAATCTGCTAATTTGGTTAATTTAACATTCTTAGGGTGTTAACGTAAATTTCTTGAAATATCCAGGTAACCTTTTTGGCATATTTACTTAACACCAATAAAATGTTAAATTAAAATAATTTGCGCTAATGTTCCAAAACGGTTGGGTTGACATTCTGAAAATGTAAAAGTAAAATTCTATATAAAGAGAAAGAATTGAACCCTCACCTCGTCAGAGTTTTTGTTTTGAGTGCGTTCTACCTACTATAAATACCGACAGACAGCTGTTTCGACCTATATTGGGGGTCTTATCAGTGTCGGGCAATTTGGTGTAGTGGAAGTTCCACTGTGGAACCCAGAGACAAGGGAGAGAGAGACGATTCTTTAAATAGGAATTTCGGTCAACAATTTAGATGCGCAGGGCTGCACACAGATTTCAATGTAAATTGGTTTCTGCACATTTGTTGGCAGCCCTGCACTGAAAAGGCGCAATTATGTTCTTTACTGTCATTTTCTGTCGTCTGTCAGTCTGCTGTCAGTAAATACTAAAAGTGCTTCTGTGGTTTTGTTTATAAGTTTTATTGATAAGTTATTATACCTCGTTATATTTAGCAGATTGTTAATTGTTGTTAAATGAAATTATTTAAGGTCAAAGTAAATAAATTAAAATATGTAGGTATGTGTGATAAAATAATTTTCTTCTCTTATTCAATTCGATTAGTTTTTAGAGTGTTTTTTTGTGTTGTTAATTAAGTTTTTGCTTTAAAATATTTTCGTGTAGGTATGTTTATTTCATATTTAAATATAATTAATATTTTGATATTTTTACATTATTTTTCTTTCTATTTTTGTCTATAAATTATTTGTGTGCAATGTTATTTTTGTTCCTGTTTTTTATTGGTTTACATGTTGTAAATAAAATAATTTTAATTTAATGCTATTTTAATTTTTTTAAACATGATATCTACGAAAGATCCTACTTTGTAATTCAATCGGTGAGATTAAGAACAGTACAAGTCCAAAATATTTATTTTTACAAATTATTTTCTAAAATTAATTTAAAAGTTTAAAATGAATTTTTGTGAGAAGATTTATATTATTTTATAAAATATTATTATTATGTTTTATAAAGTATTTAGTTGAAATATTTTCACAAAAATGCTTTTTGAACTATAAAACTGACTTTATAAAATAATTTGTCAAATTTTTTGAACTTGTACGGTTCTTAATCTCACTGATTCATTTGTAGCAAACAAAAATTAAATATTTAAAAATACCGCGCAAATTTTTTTTAGCATTAGTTCTCGCAGCCCCCGGCGAGGGCGCCACATTTATTGTTTCCAATGTTTATATGGGAATCGTTCGTCTCTCTCTCCCTTGTCTCTGGTGGAACCCACCCAAAACAAACGGCTACCTGAGCTTATATACCTTATATCGTAATCCAACTGTGGCGAGATGTAAGAACACGTAATCAACACCGTCTAATGACTTGAATGCAAATTTAACATTTTAAAGTAACATTTACAATTTGTTAAATGAAAAAATTTAATGTTTTGGATTAAAGAGAAACTAAACGTTAATTTAATAGTTTTTTTAGGTAATCCTAAAAATTTCAGTATTTGATTCAACCAATTCCAGCTATCAAATCAAAATAGGATAAACATTTTAATTCTATAAATTAGTTTATGTTAAATCAATATTTTAAATAAACTTTGACAAACTCTGACTATTGCTTTGACACCAAAATATAGATTAATCCAATAGGTTTTTTGATGAAACAACATTTTCAAAAATGACATTCAGGTAAACGTTAACTCAACTACATTATTTTTTTCGGTGTAGCTATATAAAAAAATTTATTTGTATACAAATAAATTTTTTTAGCGCAACTTTTTTTTAGTTGCCTGAACAAATCATGTTTAACGATTGTTTAGTTTTAGATTGTTAGTTAACGACTGTCAATTAACTAAAAATAACTTCGGCCCGTGACTAAAACGCCATTAAACAAACTTGTCAATTTGTATTTAAAAGGTCACTTAGTTACCTCCTAACAGCTAAATATCAGGGTTTTCTTTCTTAAGAGACTGTTAAAATATATTTAA